TAAAGACTTTATTGACGCTTTAATGTTGTGTTGTATCACGAAACACATACTACAAGGAGGAGGATGGGAGGGCCCAGTATTGACAACAAGCCACGCCATGGCAAAGATGTGTCATTTCTCCCCCGAAAACACAATATTTCTTTCCCCGTTGCTAATTAAAGAGACATAAGATTTTGTGCCCTTTGAACATCTCATAATTCTTATACGCATCTCTGCTTTTATTCATAAAGCCCTTTGATGGCACACAGCTTAGCGCTTATCACAAGATTTTCAGCGATGGAAACGAAAGGTTTTAATGTACAATTCCAAACTGTTTTGTGCTTATGAATATTCATGGAGGAGTGTGGGGAGATGCCTGCTTCCATTTTCCACCGTGTTCTTCTTTGAACATCTTGATGGCCACTTTGCTCATGATTTTAGGTACAGTGTGCTTACCTTGAATCATTGGAAGAGACCTCATGGGACATCCAATCCAACCCTCTGCAAAGAAGCAGGAAAATTGCATTCAGAGTACCCCCAACAGATGGCCATCCAGCCTCTGTTTAAAAGCCTCCAAAGGAGCCTCCACCACACTCTAGGGCAGAGAGTTCCACTGCTGAACAGCTCTCTTTCAGTCAGGAAGTTCTTCCTAATGTTCAGGTGGAATCTCCTTTCTTGTAGTTTGAAGCCATTGTTCCTTGTCCTAGTCTCCAGGGCAGCAGAAAATAAGCTTGCTCCTGCCTCCTCATGACTTCCCCTCAGATATAGTGTTCCCTCGCTTCGTGGTTTGCTTTTTGCGGACTCGCTGTTTCGCAAGTTTTTAATAAATATTAATGTAAAATATTTTGTATTTATACATAGCCATCATGTCTCATCACGGCCTTGAATTCAGTAGATATCACCTGTAAGCGACATGAGCAAGACTGAAGTAAGGGGCCTAAACTCACTGACCGAAGGCATGCGGTCCAATCCAAAAAGCCTGAGATATACCTCCTGGCTTCTCCAGTTAAAAGGATCATAGAATCAGAGAATCAAAGAGTTGGAAGAGACCTCATGGGCCATCCAGTCCAACCCCCTGCCAAGAAGCAGGAATATTGCATTCAAATCACCCCTGACAGATGGCCATCCAGCCTCTGTTTAAAAGCTTCCAAAGAAGGAGCCTCCACCACACTCCGGCAGAGAGTTCCACTGCTGAATGGCTCTCACAGTCAGGAAGTTCTTCCTCATGTTCAGATGGAATCTCCTCTCTTGTAGTTTGAAGCCATTGTTCCGCGTCCTAGTCTCCAGGGAAGCAGAAAACAAGCTTGCTCCCTCCTCCCTGTGGCTTCCTCTCACATATTTATACATGGCTATCATATCGCCTCTCAGCCTTCTCTTCTTCAGGCTAAACATGCCCAGCTCCTTAAGCCGCTCCTCATAGGGCTTGTTCTCCAGACCCTTGATCGTTTTAGTCGCCCTCCTCTGGACACATTCCAGCTTGTCAATATCTCTCTTGATCTCAGTTTGCATAGCAGAGAGATCCCTGTCTACACTGCAGAAAAATTGCCACTAACCACAGACAATGTTAGACTGAGAATCAGCTTTCTGCTATGCAATACATCCAAATACAATGCTCTTACGTTCATATTGCAATGTCGACTTCTAGTTGTGTTGGACAACCACTTTCCAGATGTCCAGTCAGGATGGCTGCAACACCATTAGTGAAAGGAGAAAGGTAGTAAGGGGTGTCCAGTATCTATTGTTTGGCAGCAATTCCCATTTGATTATAGTACTTTTGAATAAGATGAAACTATTGAGGATTATGGTTTATTTTGGACATAATTGGACTCCCCAGAACTTCACATTGGATTTCAATCAGCAATATTGAACTTAGCTGAAATCCAACATTGCATAGGTACATAGCAGTGGCCACAGTGGCACAACAGGTTAAACAATTGAGCTGCTGAGCTTGCTGACCACCTGGAAGCTACAAGGCGTAGAGCTTTTTCGACCTATGCTCCAATTCTGTGGAACTCATTGCCTCCATACATTAGAGCAATGTCGGAGTTGCAACCTTTTGTAAAGGCACTCAAGACTTGGCTGTTTGGTTGTGCATTTAAGTAATCAGATCTAATTTGCCAAATAGTCACTGTTGAATGTTTTTATGTTGAATGTTTTTATATTGTGTAAATGCTATTTTAGATTGTAAGTCGCTCGTAGCACCTTGGTGGAGAGCGACTAATTAAGAAATAAAGTGAAGTGAAGTGAAGTGAAGAAGCACTTTACTATCCTCACTTTCAGCCCCAGCTCCTGCCAACCCAGCAGTTCAAAAGCTTGCAAATGTGAGTAGATCAACAGGTACCGCCTCAGCAGGAATGTAAGAGTGTCCCATGAAGTCATGCCAGCTAAGTGACCAGGAGGTGTCTGTGGACAATGCAGGCCCCTTGGCTTGGAAATGGAGATAAGCACCTGCCCCAGAGCCAGAAATGAGCATCGCCGGAGATGAAAGGAGAAGCCTTTACCTTTGTCTGCGTATTTGTGTTTCATTGTGTTTCAAAGGCATTGAATGTTTGACTGTGTTTTTGTATATGTTGGAATCCGCTTTGAGTCCCCTCAGGGAGATAGGGCGGAATACAAATATTATTATTATAGCTCCCCACCCCCAAAACCTCCCTAACTACCACAGAGGGTATCTTAGCTCCTGCATTTAACAGGTGCACAAAAGGTGATATATTAACAGTAAAGGTAATGACAAAAGGAACCCCTTGTGAAATCAGCCATAATGCTTAACCAGAAAATGATACAGGTTGAGCATTCCTTGCCTGGAATTCTGAAAGTATCCACATGGGCATTTGAGATAATGACACCTTTGCTTCCTGCACAAAATTGTAAAAAACATTGTATAAAATGACTTTACTCATTACTTTATTTTTATCTTGCCTTTCTGCCAATATAGGGACTCAAAGCCGATAAGAGTATATGGCATATAAATAAATATTGTGTTTAGATTTGAGACCCATCTTCAAGACATCTCATTATATACATATATGCAACTCCAGTTATTACAAAATTAAAAAAACCCCCACAAACCAGATATTTTGAAAAAGGATAGTCAACCTGTACAAACCTTCTTTTCATGGTATGTGAACCAACATCTTCCCAAAACACCTTGTATGTCAATTAATACTGACTACCATTACACCCAAATCAGTTTCTACCACTGATGGGAATCTCCTCCCTTTTCTAGATTCATAATGAAGTTGGGACTTTGGCTCCATTGCAATGTCAACATGCGAGCGATAGGATTTGAGAAGACTTCTGATTTGAGAAGACTCTCAGTGTTTTCCTTCTCTATAGCAACAGAAGAAAGACCACAGCAGGGCATCCATTATGGCCACAGAGATGAGAGCTACAAAGATGCTCCACTTCCTGTGACTCCTGACACTTGCCACAGCAGGCATTGCAGACCTCTTGAAACAGTGGTTTTCAACTTTCCTAATGCTGTGACCCCTTAATGCAGTTCCTCATGTTTTCGTTACTACTTCATAACTGATATGCAGTATAAATTTTCATTCACTGGACCAAATTTGGCACAAATACCTGATGCGCACAAATTTGAATACTGGTGGAGTTGGGAAGGGAATTGATTTTGTTATTTGGGAGTTGTAGTTGGTGGGATTTATAGTTAACTTACAATCAAAGAGCATTCTAAACTCCACCAACTATGGAATTGAATCAAACTTGGCACACAAAACTCCCACAACTAACAGAAAATACTGGAAGGGTTTTGAGTTTGCGAGTTGTAGTTCCCCTACTTCCAGAGAGAACTGTGGGCTCAAACAATGATAGATATGGACCAAACTTGGCATGGATACTCAATATGCCCAAATGTGAACACTAGTGGAGTTTGGGAAAAATAGACTTGACATTTGGGAGTTGTAGTTGCTGGGATTTATAGTTCACCTACAATCAAAGAGCATTTTGAACCCCACCAATGATAGGATTGGGCCAAACTTCCCACACAGAATCCCCATGCCTTGAAGGGACCTATTGGCACGAGCCTCCCTCCAGCCTTACACGCTTTCCCTCGCCTTCACATGCGCACCACACTGCCATGCTCCGAGCATGCCTGTTCTCCCCTCCCTGCTTGGAGTCTCATAAACAGCCCTCCCCTTGGCTGAGAGGCCAACCACAGCAGAGGAGGACTTTTGGTGGGAGGATTCACCGTCTGTTTCCAAAAAAGAAGAGGACAGGAAGAGATCTTCAGCCTTCTCTGCCAAAGGGGTTCCTAAGACCATCTGAAATATGTTTTATGAAACCCCCCTTGTGACACCCCCCCAGGGGTCCCAACCCCCAGGTTGAGAAACACTATCTTAAAAGATCCATAGCAAAAGTGAGAGAGATGGTGTTGACTCTATTGTGAGCTGGACCTACATACATTTCAGAGGAAGGGGCCAATGAACTTGCATTCCCCAATCGCTCATGATTCCATCCCTTCATAATAGGTCCTCTTGTATTATGTGAAACAGGTTCAGAAATTTCTGCCTCTTGCAATTGTCCAGTAGGCTAAGGAAAAGGGACATTTGGAAGAGTTGCTGACTACTGGAAATTAGGTCATTGACATCCCTCCTCTCTTTTAGAAGGAAACTAAAAACACGGATATGGGATCAGGCCTTTGGGTAATCTGGCAAATAGAGAAAGGACGACGACGACTAGAATTGATAGGATTTGACAATGTGGAATGAATTTCGGATTCTGAGTTGGCGAACGTTGAGCATTAGGCTGGTTTTATTTATTGTTTATTGATTGATTGTGATGTATAATTGATGGTTTTAATTGTTTATAATTGCTGTTGATATATGTTTTTCTCTTATTGTTTGTGTTGGCATCAAATTGTGCCTTTTTGTAAGCCGCCCTGAGTCCCACCTCAGGGGTTGAGAAGCGCGGGGTAGAAATGCGCGAAACAAATAATACTGCTACAATATGTGGTTTGGAAAGAGACGAGAGAGCCGCCTTTAAAGAAAACACAGGACAAACTTAAATTATTACAAATGGCTTGCTTCATAGAGACAAAATAGGGCTTACACACAGAGACTGTACACTGCTGTCCAAGTTAAAACAGGCATTAAAAAACAACAACAAAAATAACAACCACCTTCCAGCCAATAGAATGCTGGCATTTGCAAGAACACATAATAAAAATGCGACTTTGAAATATTTACAGATATTACATTTGTTGGAGGAAATAAGACAAAACAGTGGGAGGCGGCTCTTGTTGCCGGTCTACAGGGCCATTCCAGCTGTTTGCGGATCATTTGGATTTCCAGGCCTGAGTGTTTAGGCTGGCCTTGTTACTGAGGGCAACAAGCATTACAGTTAGCACTGAACAATGCATCAAAATGGCAGGAGGTGATGAACTCTCCATCTGCAGAGAATGCAAACAAGCAGAGCGAGGGCTACAATGGAAGCCACATTTGAACACAATAATGTGCAAGTAAAACCAATATGTACGGAACAGTGGGATCCCCTCTCGGCATTTTCCACCCCAGTCCAGAGCCTCATTCATATATGTGTTCTCGTTCTGGCATTATCTTAACCCCTATGCTCCACGCAACATTTGGCTTTATTATCTAGTGCTAAGTCTAGGTTTGTGTGAGATGGATTTCCCAAGGAAAATGGAGGAAGCGACACTTGGGAAGACTGAATCAGTAAAATCTGGTATGTGTCAAGAATGCCTTAGTCTGCCTGCCATCTTTGTGACAGCATTGTGGCAAGTCAATGCACAAAAAGGGGCAAGAAATGAAAAGGAGTCCAAAATGGAGAAGTCATGCCTCAACTGGAAGATTTTGCATAATTTAGTATCTTGAAAAAAACCACAATATGCATCTCATGATCCTAAACTAACTTACTCTTAAAACTCTTTAATCTCTCACCATCATTTGCATTGGGAAGACAGCAAGATCCCAGGAAATCCATCAAAATGCCTCCTGCAAGGTCATTCGGATACACTCACTGCTCTGACAAGAGTTAACAGTTGAACTTGCTTTTTTAACATTTGCTGAAGCAGTTAGGAAAACAGAAAATGGCATCTGCTAATCCGTTTTACTTTCCCTGAGCTTAGTCATAACATGGTGAAATGAATATAAGAAAATGAACCTGAAAAGGGAGGGAGGGGGAATCCTGATCTAATATTAAATGAATTAGAAATGTACACGGCTGAGCCATAAAAATGCAAAGCTATATCAAAATGACATCTTTCTGGGCCCAAAAGGCAGATTCCTGCCCCTCCACCAAACCTGAACATAATCATCTGTCACTAAACGCAAAAGACTACATATAGTGTCGCTTTCTGCAATTGGGAATGTTTCCCATTATCCTTGATTATTAAGGGCTGATGAAAACTGTAGTCCAAGACATTCAGGTTGGAGGTGGTCTTAATGTGCCATTGTCTGCCACCTGTTTAGGGGACTAAGACAGGGGTGGGAGCCATGCAGCCCCTAATGTTGTTGGAGTGCAGCTCCCAGCAGTCTCCAGCAATATATCCAATGGCAACAGATGTTGGAAGTTGTAGCCGAACATCTGGAATGTTTCATGGCTCCCATCAGACTTAGGTCTAAATCCAGTTGCTTACCCTGATGGGAATGATCATTAAGTCTATTGTACTCAGTCAACACTCATGTAAATCCCATTGATCCAGTACCTTAACTGGGACAAGCAACTGCATTTAGTCTTAGAATCTGGAAGCAGACTAAAAAGGAAGCTAAATTTATCTTTGCACTTAATGAGCAGAAAGCTGGTTTAGATGAGTGTATGACTTTTTTTGGACAGGGCACAGAGTGGTTTTTTTTCTTTCCCTTTGCAGACAGTCCTAAGTTTCCCCCCTCCATACCTGTCATGCCCGCTTGCTAGTCTTTACAAGTGTGAAAGGGAGGGAAAGGAGCAATTCAGAAGAGAAAGAAGTTCTGTCTTGCGTTCAAAAGGAAGGAAAGTGTACAATGTATGAGAGTGCCTCTTCCTCCTTATGAGCCTGGACCTGCTGTATCTTCTGCCCTTCCTTTTAGTAAGGCTAAAAACGAACAGACTGGGGAATATAAAAAGGCACAAATGGAGCATTACACTACAACTGCTGGGTATAGGATCTTATCCAATGTGTTTTTTAAAAATGCTAACAGCACCTGCTGAGGAAAGGAAAGTTAACCTGCCTGCTGCTGTTCCAATGACAATGACTTCTTTGAAGCTGCAATTTGCATTGGAAACAAAGTTCCTGTTTGCACTAATCTGAGATTCCATCCCAAGGCAAAAAGAAGCCTCAAATGGGTGATTCTCATTAGGCAAAGTCTTTGCCTCTCTTACAAAATAGCACTTAAGAATATTAAGTATAAGGACATTTCTGATTAAATGCCTTTTGGCTCTCAGACCCATAACTCAGGAAAGATGTGGAGCTACATCTTCTAAGTACCAAATTTTGTCAATGTAACGATGTTGCATTTCTCTCAGATCTAGTAGATTTTCTCATTTACCTCATTCTAGTGCCCTATTTTCTGCTTCACTGTTGGGATCTTAAGTGCTCACCTCATGAGAAGGTCTGAAGCTATTCACCATGAGAACTTCAACCTATGAAAAGAGACCATGGGAGGGAGGGGAATTTCTGCCATCTGGTAACATGGGACATAACAGCATCATAGAAAAAGGACAGGAGGAACTTCATGACCTTGCAAATGTTGGACTGAAGTTCCAATGTCTCCATGCTTTTGGCTATGTTGGCCAAGGCTGCTGGATATTGGAGCCCTGCCTGAAAAGAGGGTTGTACTGTCCAGGAAGACAGTTGGAAGTTTTCTGTTGGAAGTTTTCTGTTGGAGCCTGCACAGGCTCAGATACACCAACATGTGTGCATTCACAGAATCCACAAAGAAAAAAACACGACCCTCTCCTGTGTGTTGGAGACATGATCCAAGGAAAATGGAAGTAGAAGCAGCTCCAAAATGAACCTGAGGTTCTCAATTTCTCTCACCCTGTGATCACTTCTGAAGTGCATGAATGGTACAAGTAACTGCATTCTCTGACCAGGACCCAAGAGAGAATGGGTTCTGCTAAGATTGTGTTTTTAGCAACTCAGACTGTTTAGGCTTTCCAAAATACGTTAGGTGTGTACCACATGGAATGTTACAACATCTTCACAGAATTAAGTTTCACATGAATTCCAAGTGCTTCAGAGAAGGTTGACACAGAAATCTTTACAACAGCATGGAAGACACTTGCAAATGATTCTATTTCAAAAACAGGTCTGACCTTTAGTTTTAAGAGCCGGGCTCCCAGAAATACATGTATTAAAAGTTTTTGAGTCATGGAAGATATCACAACAATTAAGGAGTGGTGGCAGTTTGTTTGTTGTTCCCCAAGAAGTAAACACATTTGTCACAAGGCCATAACAATATTTGCCAAACAGTAGTAGCCACAGTGCTACTAAAATGGGAATCTTAATTTTAGAAGCTAAAGTTGAGTAATTTCAGAACTTAGGTAAATAAAAGTCTGAAGTGTAGTTTCCCATTTGTGCGTGAACAAAGCCTTGGAATTTTTTTAGGAAGCATCTTTTTCCAACTGAAGGAAGTAAAAGGACCTACCAGGCCTGAGCTGTAATAAAACCAAGCAGTGGCAGTGAAAGACATGGTTGTGACCTTTGACGAGGACAGGCCCAGCATGGACAATTAGTTATGTTTTGCTTCTTTAGATGACCCAGGGAACTAGTTTCCCACAAAGGTGATTGAGTGCACCATCCTTGCCCACCAAGCAACAGAGATGGGAATGCTCTAAGTAGCATTAATGCTTTGGTTTCTAACAGCAAATATATAGAGTAGTCACTGCAAGACAAGGGAGCAAAGCACAGTTCACAATTAACATTCAAACCAAGATCAGAATCCAGAAAGGTCATCCTTTGAGTTTGAGACTAAACACCCTTGGTCTCTTTTACCCTTAAATTCAGGAGGTCACAAAATAAAGTTCACCAGAACAAATAAAGAGACTGTAAAGCCTGGTCAAGCTTTCTGCATGGCTGAGCCCTTAATCCACCCTTGCCAATCTTATTAAATAGCATTAAATTAAATTACATCAGGGAGAGGAACAGAGCAGTTTGCTTAAAAAACAACAGTGTGTCCTTCTGGAGACTGCACTACACATTTAGGAAGTAAGATTTCCCAAGACCAACATCTGAGAACTTGCCACCCTTATCTTATAAGGCTATACATTATTCTTAAAACATAATGGCTATGATGGGGATACAAAAGCTTGGGAAGATGGTCCATAGTCAGGAGTGTGGGCATCATGTTTCTTTCTTGAATTTTGTCCCATCCATCTTCTCTTCACCATATCTTTACTTCATTTTTGTAGGCTTACAATTTCAAGAATTCCCAAATGAGCATGGCCAAAGGCCAAAAGCCAAAAGCCACACTGGCTAGGAGACTGTGGACATGGTAATAACCAAAAGAAAACTTCACCAAATACTACTTTTTCTAAAAAAAGAGCAGCGAGTGATAAGAAATCTTGGTTTACTTGGAACAAGAATAATAACTATCCCCACTAAAATATCCAACATGGTGCCAGCACCCCTAAGGCCTTCATGCTAGCACAAAAAACAATCTTAAAATAGAAATAATATTCCTGTTATTTCCACTTATTCTTGAAAACAAACATACTACTGCTGTCCTATAGTAGGTAGGACATGCCAGCCTGAGCAACTCTGCAGTAAACGCTGCAAAGGGCAATACTACAGCCGGACAAAGTACATGCATGAGCCTATTTCCAAGGGGCAGTTGCCAGGGTGCAGCATGCACCCCACTCCATGGTTTTCTTTTCCCGCATGGAAAGATGGGTTCAAGGTTGGAGCACGTGCCCTGCTATTGGTGAATTGGTTCCTCTCTTTATATACACCTTCACAACAAGGTGGCTTGATTCAAGAGTCATCCATGAGGCAGGTCCTTGCTCTGAGATCGCAACCACTGGGCTCTTGTCCTTGATTCTCTGGAGCTGATGCATCTGTTAAACCCTGTTCCATAACATGATCAAGTTCAAGCATTTCGAAGCCAATGGCCAGCCTACAGGTCGATGCGATAGGTCCCAAGGCCAGCATAACAATCATCAGATATGGATCAGAGTCCATGGTGAATGGAAGCACCTCTGTTTAGACATAGGATGAGCTTTCTTTACAGTCACCAGGTAACTTCTCTCACCATTTAGAGTAATATCAGATTAATATCCATCATCTTCATCTACATCACAGCCATAATCTGGAAAAACACAAAAAGAGGAAAAATCAGAACAACCAATATCATGTATTGTTGAAGGCTCTCATGGCCGGAGTCACTGGGTTGTTGTAGGTTTTTCAGGCTGTATGGCCATGTTCTAGAAGGCAAGAATACTTCTAGAACATGGCCATACAGCCCGAAAAACCTACAACACCCTAAACGATATTATACCTCCTCTATCTTGTTCATGCCCAGCATTATTTAACTTTAATTACATTTGGCCCAGACATAGTTTTTAAATGTGTTTTGTGCTATTGTTCAATGTTTATGCTATGTATGAGTTTATTTTTAATTGCTTTGTATTAGTATTTGTATTTTGCTTTGAATTGTGGTTGTTATTGCATGTATTGATGTATTGTGGGCTCGGCCTCATGTAAGCCGCACAAGTCCCTTGGGAGATGGTAGCGGGGTATAAATAAATTATTATTATTATTATTAATAATAATAATAATAATAATAATAATAATAATAATATTATATTCTTCCCATCTTGACATCCCTAAGGGAATTCTGGGAATGAGTTGTAGAAATCTCAAGTTTTAGAGAGACGTCTCCCTGCCCTATTCAGCCTCCCCCAGGTACACATAGGTTCACTCATATATACTTTTTCATTGACTACACAGAATTATTTGTTGGTGGGACGTGCTATATTGAAAGGGGAAAGGTAGTCTAGGTGTTTGTGCCTCTTTAGGCTAGACTGGCTGGCAAATCATTTAACTGACAATTCCCCCACTCTAAAGATTCAGGAACACTTTCCAACAGGTCAACATTTTCGGTATCTGCCTTTTCCAGTTAAAAATCAAATTAAAACAGCTCAGACTCAAGTTCTAAGCAGGCTTAAGCCTGATCCGTTTGAGCCCTTTTAAATACAGAGTTCAAAAATTTCTCACTTCCTCAATTTGCATTAGATTAAACATCCTCCGTCGTCTTCCTATATTTTGATGAGCTTCCTCTAAAGAGTCTTTCTCCCTTTTCAAACCTATTATCTATCTTTTTGGGTAATTCGGACTGAAATACATGTTTGGTAGCCAAGGGGGAGTCTAAGTCTGGATCTCCCTGGTCTAATTGCTAGCACTCCAACTAGTATGGCATATAGTCTTGCCAAACTGAAGTTGAGTGTGTGTCTTCAAGTCACCCATCTACTTATGGCATCCACATGAATTTCATAGGGTTTCCTTGGAAAGAGAATATTCAAGAGATGATCCAGAGAAAGGAACTAGCAATCTAGTTCCTTCCTCTGAAATATAGCCTATAGCTCGTAAGGGGTTGGTGAAATTAAACTTGAAGGCACATACACACGTATAAATGATAATAGTGATCAAAAATATGAATCTGTATGTAGCAGAAATTTAACTGGCTGCAGAAGTGCCATGCTATTTTACAGGGGTGTTTGGTATCCGCTAAGGCATGATTCCAGGTCTTCCTCCACCATACCATGGATACCACCATCTGTGGATGTTCAAGTCCCATTATGTACAATGATATAATAAAATGATGTCCCTTATATAAAATGGAAAAATCGAGGTTTGCTTTTTGGGGTATTTTCATGCCGTCGGTATAGTGGACTGACTATGCTGATGCAGATTAAATATATGGTTGTTACTACTTATATCAGTAAATATCTGACTGATGCCTTCATTAGTGGTTTGGTCCATAAATGCTGCAACCTCCTAGAGAGGGGCAAGGGAAGGCAATAACTGAGCACAGCTCTTGTTCTGTATCCTGCCCTTGGGTTTCCTGTAAGCATCTGTTTTGCAAATGAATGGAACAGAGACAAATAGGCTCCTTTAATGTTCTACTAAGTGGTTCAAATGGGCATAGGCACCTTGGCTCCCATTCTGGGGGGAAAGTAAAATGTAAATAAAGATTCTAATCCTTGTCCACTTCATCATCGTCATCTTCTTCAATTTATCTGTGGAGCTTGTAAAACTCTAAGGATTACTACTATTTGAATCCCCTATGACAGGAATAGGCATAAGTATGGTGCTACAAACTAATACTGCCCCCCCTTCCAATTTCATTGTGCGCTCAGCAAGCCCAAATATCTCCATTTTGTTCTATGAACTCTTTCAAAGTAAGAAGTGAAATTATATGATTTATTGTTGCTATTTTGAAAGGGACTGCAGAAGAAAATATAATAATAATAATAATAATAATAATAATAATAATAATAACTTTATTTATACCCCGCCACCATCTCCCCAAGGGGACTCGGAGCGGCTTACATGAGGCCAAGCCCGACAACACATCAATAAAACAAAAAACAATAAGCAAAAAAACCCCAATTAATATTACTCACATGTAAACAGTAACACACAAGGATTTAAAAACCTATGGCCAGGCCAAATGTAATAATTTAAAATTTAAAAAATAAACACTGGGCATGAACAGAGGTAGGATGTATCTGATAGGAGGGTTTTAAAAGAAATGAAGGGAGAGCAACCCAACGAGTAGTTAAAGTGCTTTGAGGCAGGCCCGTAGCCAGGATTTCGTTCGGGGGGGGGGGGGGCTGAATTTTTTTCAGGGGGGGTTCGGGGGGGGGGCTGAGTTTCGGGGGGGCGGAGTCTGAGTGAAAGAGGGTCTAGCCTAGCAAACCTTTTGTATCATTACCCCAATACCCCCATGCATATGGGATATATTGAGTATGGTGATCAGATCATGATATGAATAAACATAACAGTTTAAATAATGCACCAGTAAGGCCTTTCGCGAACCACCATGAGAATTTCGGGGGGGGGGGGGGCTGAAGCCCCCCAAGCCCCCCCCCCCGGTTACTTTCTGAGGACATTTTGCAGGGGATTGTTTCCTTTATTTAGGGAAGGCACACTGGAACAGTCACGTTTTCAGGCTCCTCCTAAAGACTGCCAATGTGGGGGCTTGTCTGATATCCTTGGAGAGTGAGTTCCAGAGTCGGGGGGCCACCATAGAGAAGGTCCTCTCCCTCGTCCCCACCAATCGCCACTTGAATTGCGACCGGAAAATGCACGGCAACCAATGGAGCTCCTTAAACAGGGGGTTAACTACTCCCTGTAAGTTGCTCCAGTTAGTAGCCTGGCTGCCGCCCGTTGTACCAATTGAAATTTCCGGGCCGTCTTCAAGGGCTGCCCCACATAGAGTGCATTACAATAATCCAATCTTTCTTATATCCCGCCTCTATTTCCCTGAAGGGATTCGGGGTGGCTTATTTATTTTATTTTATTTATTTATTTGAAACATTTATATTCTCAGGGCAGAGCACAACATATATACGGCAAACATTCAATGCTGGGACATAAAACCATAAATATATACAAACATTAAAATCACTTATATCCACTTTAAAATTAATTTCTTAAAAACCATCTCAGGACACCATTATATTATTGCCTTGTTGCAATCCCCAAAGACTTGGTCCCAAAGCCAGGTCTTCATCATCCTTCTGAAGGACAGGAGGGAGGGAGCGGATCTAATACTGCCAGGAAGGGAGTTCCATAGCACGGGGGGGGGGGGGGGGGGGATCACTGAGAAGGCCTGTCTCTCGTCCCCACTACTTGCGAGGCTTGGGGGACCGAGAGCAGGGCCTCCTAGAAGATCTTAGTCTTCAGTGGTTCATAAAGGGAGATGCGTTTGGACAGGTAAACTGGCCAGGGCTGTTTAGGGCTTTATAGGCCAAGACCAGCACTTTGAATTGTGCCTGGTAACAAACAAGCAGCCTGTGGAGTTGACGTAACATGGGAGTTGTGTGCTTCCTGTATGCTGCCCCAGTTATTAACCTGGCTGGCTCTCGTTGGACTATTTGAAGCTTCCAAACCGTCTTCAAAGGCAACCCCACATAGAGAGCATTGCAGCAGTCTATCCTGGATAGACTTATATAGGGACCATGCCCAATATAAACAAAGTTACAAAATAACATAATTAAAAACATATAACAATCAATTATATTAAAACAATAAAACCAATAAAATCTAAGACATCATAAAACATAATCAAACAGCAAACAACCAATGGCCAAGAAAAGTGGGCATGTGGAGATCGGAGACTAATAGGGCAGGGCTAGTGCAACAAAAACTGTGAGGATGGGGGCTGGGAATAAAGTGCTGGAGATCCTACCAAAAGATGAGGGCTAGATCAACTTGGATCAGTCTTTGAACTAAATGGGAGACATTTGAGTTTTGTACAGAAGGCTGTGAAGGTGGGCTAGGGTATTCCAAAGCAATTTCATGTGTTGGGAGGCTTTGTGTGTAACTTGAGAGCAAAAACCATTTCAAAGGCTTTTTGTAAAAGGGGGGTTGGAGGCTTTGGGAGACTGGTGGCCACAAACATGGGACTCAGAGGCTGTGTGTGGCCAATAACAACAACAACTTTATTTTTATACCCCACCACCATCTCCCCTAGGGGACTTGGGGTGACTTACAAAGGGACTAGCCCAAAAATTACAGATAAAAACAGAGAGAAAGTTAAAATCAATCAAATAAAAATAATAAAATATAACACAGTCATAAACAGCATCATAAAAACAATATGGCTGAGATAAAGATCATAGTTGCGTTCGGGCTCAATGAGTGCAAATAATTCCTAAAACGAGCCAATGGAAAGTACGGAAATTGAATGAACAGGGGCTTGGGAATACCGTTGGCAAAAGTGTTGAGGTAGCCAATAAGAGGTCCAAAATAAAGTGTAGAACTTAAAGTAGGGACAGGATGGTTCTCTGGTGAACTGCCTAATCAAAGGCACAACGGAACATCCAGGTTTTTAATTCCTTTCGAAAGGAGGCCAAAGTGGGAGCCTGTCTGATTTCCCTAGGGAGGGAGTTCCAAAGCTAGGGGGCCACCACTAAGAAGGCCCTCTTCCCTTGTTCCCACCAACTGTGCTTGGGACAGTGGAGGAAGAGAGAACAGAGTCTCCCCAGATGATCTCAGAGTACGCACTGGTTCATAGGGGAAGATGCAATCACAAAGAAAGGCAGGTCCTGAACCATTTAGGGCTTTGTAGGTGATTGCCTGCACCTTGAATTAGGACTGGAAACTTATTGCAAGCCAGTGGAGCTGTTTAAATAGGGGAGTTGACTGCTCCCTGTAACTAGCTCCCGTAAGCAGTTTGGCCGCAGATCTTTGAACCAACTGTAGTTTCCAGGCCGTCTTCAAAGGAAGCCTCACGTAGAGTGTGTTGCAGTAATCCAACCTGGAAGTAACTAAGGCACGGACCACCATGGCCAAGTCAGACTTCACGAGGTACGGGAACAGCTGGCGCACAAGCTTCAACCCTCCCAGCCACCGCCGACACCTGAGCATCAAGTGTCAAAGCGGAGTCCAGAAGGACCCCTAGACTGCAGACCTGTGTCCTCAGAGGGATTGTGTCCCCATCGAGTACAGGTAGCCACCCTGTACCCTGATCAGTCCCACAACTGGCCAGGAGGACCTCTGTTTTGTCAGGATTAAGCTTCAGGTGCTATGCCCATTTCTGCTCCATGAGGACCATGAGTATATATAAGTACATAAGTATATTTACTTTTTCAACTCTGGTAATTAGAACAGAATTTTGTGCAGGCAGGCATGCATAAATTATTTTTATCCTGCCAGCTTTATAATTTTTTTTCCTATGTGCATGTTCGTAATACAAAGGTATCAGCATGATCCACGATATCGAGACTAACAATATATTTTTTTGGAATGATTCAAAAATACCTACAATAGAAAGCGGGGGAACAGTTCAGTGACCTTTAACAAGTTTCATATAGTTACTATCATTATTATTATGAGTTTCCTTCAGCAGCAACAGACACGCCTATGCAGGTGCCGTTCTCTGGGAAAGCGACTCTAATCATATATGCTCCTGAAAAAAGAGTTCCCTACGGTTTGAGTGATTACTTTCCACTCAAATCAACCCCGTCTGTTATGATTATTCCACAGACCTCACACAAAAGTTGAAATCAACATCCCCTGCTAAATTAAGGGTGCCAAGTTGCATACGCTGTACATAATCAACACTCCAGTGCCAACCTTCTCAGCGTGACACTGTCAGGCCTCACAATTAGCGGCTCCCATGTCATGTCGCTGGGTATATGTACAGATTTATACCACAGTTAAGAAGGTTCAGTACAGGAATGAAACTATACATCCCAAACACTGGGGGTAATAATAATAATAATAATAATAATCTTTATTTTTACTCCACCACCATCTCCTCAAAAAGGACTCGGGGCAGCTTACATGAGGCCAAGCCCAACGATACATTACTGTCCCCCTCCCATGCACACCAAATCCTATTGACTTGATGGCTCCCACAGCTGAAATATTCCTTTAGTGAGTAATGTTGACAAACTTTATTTAGACTTAGAAGTGCTGCTGATGTGCAGCCAACAACACAAGGTTTCTGCCTTTCACTTGAAACAATAGAATTGGGTTAACATCCTTAGTCCTTGGTTGTCTCTACATTTTATTACACTATAATACATGCAACAATATTATTCGCTTGAAGGCTCTTATTCCATCACTGAGTGGGAACATTACGTTCTTAACACGCAAAAAAGAGCACTTTATGGGAACGCACAATAAAAGGACAAGAACAAATACAGCAAGTTTGAGGGATGGGAAGCAGAGGAGGTCATGGGGATTTTGTAGATCACATCGCGTTAGACAGATGCCACTTTTCAGAAAGCAGGAAAGAAAAGATCCATGATGGAAAATTAAACAGGGAAAACGTTTAAAGACAAAGCACAACAAGGAGAAATAATGTACTGTAAACTGTAGTGTTGATAGGGGTCCTGCAGTGTGACAAAGTAGGGGAAAACATAATTTGGTGCCCCCATTCAAAAGTGGGAAAGTGAAGTCTCTGCAAAGTCTAAATCATAAAAAGAAGCAAACACTAATGCCCATTTGTTAGGGATATTTTGGATACGATTTCATGCATTTTGCAAAGGGTGCTGGACTTGCTGATCGAAGGGTCGATGGTTCGAATCTGGGGGGCGGGGAGAGCTCCCGCTGTTAGCCCCAGTTTCTGCCAGCCTAGTGGTTCAAAAACATGCAAATGTGAGTAGATTTACCACCAGACTAGTATTTGTTGGTAGGTTTTAATTGTATTGACTTAATTGTTTTTAATCTATATATAATTATTGGTTGTTATGTACTTTATTATATGTATAATGGAGCCCCCGGTGGTGCAGTGGGTTAAACCCCTGTGCCAGCAGGATTGAAGACCGACAGGTRGCAGGTTCAAATCCTGGGAGAGGCAGATGAGCTCCCTCTATCAGCTCCAYCTCCTCATYCAGGGACATGAGAGAAGCCTCCCACAAGGATAATAAAAACATCAAATCATGTGCCCTGGGTAATGTCCTTGCAGACGGCCAATTCTCTTACAACAGAAGCGACTTGCAGTTTTTCTCAAGTCGCTCCTGACACGACAAAAATAAAATAAAATAATGTGTATATAGAGGCATCGAATTTTGCCGATTGGAAGCCGCCCTMAGTCCCCCCAGGGGGTTGAGAAGGGCGGGGTACAAATATTCAAAATAAATAAATAAATAGATCAATAGGTACTGCTCCGGCGGGAAGGTAATGGCGCTCTATGCAGTCATGCTGGCCACATGACCTTGGAGGTGTCTAGGGACAATGCTGGCTCTTCAGCTTAGAAATGGAGATGAGGACCAATCCCCAGAGTCGGACACGACTGGACTTAATGTCAGAGGAAAATCTTTACCTTTACTACAGTAGATTCAAAAATTCAATGGGATTTACAAAAGTGGCAACTTAGTAGCTTCCCACTGTATTGGTAGGGGCAATCTATTATCTCAGTCTATCTGCTGTCTGTTTGTTTATCTAATATTACACCACGGGTGAGTCTCTAAAATGCTAAAATTAAGGCCTACCATTTCCGCCCATCAACTGAAGGGCGCTCACGCAGTGATCCTCCTCCTCTTCAACTTCTTCTTCTTCTTCCACTTCTTCCTCGTGGTTGTATGATACAGGCCCCGTCTCTACCAGGACATTTGCTGGCTTTTCAGCTGCTTGAGCTTCAGCCTGAGTACTTGGAAAAACAGCCTGCAAAGGATAAAAAAACACAAAGGTTTTGCCTAAACTTTCGTTTTTGTTCCCACTCTGCTGGGGAAATGTAATGTTGATGTAATGTTGAGATAGAATTGCAAAGATACAGAGGTATTACGGCCACTTAAGGCATGTTTGTTGTTCTGCTATGATTTTATCAGGAGGCAGCATACATATTGGCATTTTGCTTTTTCGTCAACTGGCCAATATTGTTACTGCAATGAAGTGACAAGTGTAGCAATGAAAGGGAGAAGGAAGAAAGGAAAGCGTATGAACAATAAAGTAAATGGGACTGCAAGAGCCACTGACTTTGAGGATTACCACCGAGTTTTAACCAAAGTGATACAAAAAGGGGAATTCAAAAGACAGAGGGGAACTAGGAAAATCAACGGCTCCTGGTGGCATCTTGGGTTAAACCGCTGAGCTGCTGAACTTGCTGACCGGAAGGTTGGTGGGGTGAGCTCCCATTGTCAAACCCAGCTTCTAACAACCTAGCAGTTCAAAAACATGCAAATGTGATTAGATCAATAGGTACCTCTTCTGCAGGAAGTTAATGGAGCGCAATGCAGTCATGCTGGCCCATGACCTTGGAGATGTGTATGGACAACTCCAACTGTTCGGCTTACAAATGGAGATAAGCACACACCCCTCCCAAAAGTCAGACACAACTAGACTTAATGTCAGAGGAAACCTTTACCTTTACTTTAGGAAAACCAATTTCTGTTAACCAACAGCAATTTCTTATAATTCCTTATTTATCTTTGTTTCCTTCTTTCCGCCAGAACCCTACTCACTTTTCCCACTATATTTAATGACCTTGACTTCTCAGGTGGTTGTCTATGCTAGAAAATAAACCACTGTCAAAGTTCCTGGAGAATGGAGTGCTCCTTAGCATGTATGTGTAAAGTTGGGATGATACATAATGTATAGCTAAGAGCACAGAGCCTCTGGATCACCAGACAACAGTAAATTTAGTCCCTTCTGAGTTCTGTTCTTGAGTACTTGGGTCTCATAGAATCATAGAGTTAGAAGAGACCTCATGGGTCATCCAGTCCAACCCCCTGCCAAGAAGCAGGAATATTGCATTCAATGCACCCCTGACAGATGGCCATCCAGCCTCTGTCTCACACTATGATAGCTGTTCTGAGTGGCAACAAATTTATTTATTTATTTAATCATTATTTATTTATTAAAACGTTTTAATACCATCCAGCTTCACAAGCAAAATAGGGGGAAACAACTTAAAATAATTTGAAACAATAAAATAATTTAAGTACACTAAAACACATTAAATAAAAAAAATAAAAAGAGCCCCTTTTAAAAAGTTAAAGACAGTTTTAAAACTGCAGATTAGCATTTTTAAATAAATAAGTGAGGCTTTATTTTAGCAAACAGTCATGTTTGCACTTGGTGCCTAAATGATGCAGTATTGGTGCCAATTGGGTCTTCAAGGAGAGGACATTTTACAATTGGGGTGCCCCAATGCCCTCACATAGTGTATTGATCTCACTAGTGGTACACAAAGCACATATAGGGAGAAGTGTTTCTTCAGATACCAAACTTCTGAGACACTGAAAGCTTTAAAAGTCTTGAAAAGCACATTGAATGTGGACTAGATGCACATTGGCAGTCAATGCAATTTAAAAACATTTAAAAGTAAGCATGATATGGTGTCTATATGGCATTTAGGATTTCTTTGCATAGTTGTGAATGCTGGGCAGTGGGGAAAGCTAATAGGCTAATAGGAAAAGATTCAACTCAGGCTCCATCTGCACTGCCATATAATAGTTTTATTGCATTGAACTGCATTATATGGCTTCATTTAATATATGGTGTGAGGGAAGAGTTCCGGAGATATAATATGAGTCCTCTTAGGGGGAGAAAAAGTGGACTATAAATAAATAAATAATAGGTAAAGGTAGGTAAATTTTTCCCCTGACATTAAGTCCAGTCGTGTCTGACTCTGGGTGGTGGTGCTCACCTCTATTTCTAAGCTGAAGAGCCAGTGTTGTCCGTAGACAGCTCCAAGGTCATGTGGACAGCATGACTGCATAGAACGCTGTTACCTTTCCGCCTGAGTGGTACCTATTTATCTACTCACATTTGCATGTTTTCGAACTGCTAGGTTGGCAGAAGCTGGGGCTAACAGTGGGAGCTCACCCCACTCCCCGGAATCGAACCTGCAACCTTTCAGTCAGCAAGTTCAGCAGCTCAGCAGTTTAACCCACTGTGCCACCAGGGGCTCAATAATAATAATAATAATAATAATAATAATAATAATAATAATAACAACAGCAGGATTGAAGAGAAACAACTAGAAAAGCTGACACGATATGAGGATTTAAAGATTGAACTGCAAAGACTGTGGCACAAGCCAGTAAAGGTGGTCCCAGTGGTGATTGGCACACTAGGTGCAGTGCCTAGTGATCTTGGCCTGTACTTAAACACAATCAACGCTGACAAGATTACCATCTGCCAGCTGCAAAAGGCCACCCTACTGGGATCTGCACGCATTATTCGCTGATACATCACACAGTCCTAGGCACTTGGGAAGTGTCCGACATGTGATCCAATACAACAGCCAGCAGAGTGATCTTGTTTGCTATGGACCCATCTTCTTGTGTTTCAAATAATAATAATAATAATAATAATAATAATAATAATAATAATAATAACAGCAACAACTAATAATAACGCTAAGACAAAGACTCTGGCACAAGCCAGTAAAGATGGTCCGAGTGGTGATCGGCACACTGGGTGCAGTACCTAAAGACCTTGGCCAGCACTTAAAAAACAATCAGCACTGATAAAATTACCATCTGTCAGCAGCAAAGGGCCACCCTACTCAGATCTGCACGCATTATTTACCTATATTGGGAAGTGTCTGACATGTGATCCAGTACAACAGACAGCATGATGATTTTGCTGTGTACTAATCTTGTTGTATATCAAATAATAATAGTAATAATAACAACAACAAGAAGAAGACCAAAAAGACGAATAAACTGGCCCAATAACACATCAAGCATGAACTCTTTGTAAAAGCCATACTAAACTGAGACTGGTACTTTGGCCACATCATGAGAAGATATGACTCACTAGAAACAACAGTAACACCTGATAAAGTAAAAGGCAGCAGGAAAAGAGAAAGGCCATTTTACAGGTGGACTCAATCAAGAAGCCATGGCCCTCAGTTTGAACTGTTGGTACCAAGGTCACTTGGAGGTCTCTCATTTATAGGGTCAATGTAAGTCAAATCCAACTTGATGGCAATTAACAATAATATGATCTTTCAGTCCACTAGTTGTCTATTTAGCTCGGCCTGGCCATAGATAAGCGATGCAATGAGGGCAGCCCCACAGAACCTTCCCAGTAAGAGGTCAAGGAGACCGGGGGCTCTTCCTTTCATGTTGCTCTGGCTTTTCAGAACAATTATGCAACACAAGAACGCCAGCACACCACTGCAGGGAATGTGGGTATTTAAAGAAGCAGCTATCGCGGCAGCAATAAAAGTGGCACCCCAATTTATATTAATTGTTATGCCAGGAATTTCCGCCCGCCTTGAACATTTACACAGCAGAACGGCAGAATTTAAAGGAGCTACAATTGAACCATTATTTTTTAAAATTGCACAACCCTAATTAAAGCATGACCTTCTTCTAATTATCATGTCCATTTCCCAAATGCCTCTGTACTAGAAATGTGCAGGTTTTTTCTAATGAGGATGGCATTAAAAAAAGAAAAAGAAAAGAACACGTTAAAAAAAAGAAAGGAAACCTTTTCCCCAGACTCCAACAAATGCTGTTTTGGGAGGCAGAGGTGGGAGGAGGATCCAGATTCATATTCACTTTAAATATAAAGATGTTAAAGGTTTAGTTTAGGAAAACGTCCTGAAATGGTTTCCAACAGACGGCCGAAATCACTTGCATGAAGATTGCATGTGATTTGCCCTGCGTAAAAACATAACTGTGAAAAACACACGGAGCTATTGGCAAAATGAAGCAGACAAAATTTCAAAACAGTGCAAGTGTTAATAGATGAATTTTGGAAAAGGAAAGCGGGGAAGGATTTAGCACAATCTGAAAACTAGTGGCAGCCATTTAAGATTCAGTAACAGAAAGATGTGTGTGTGTGTGTGTGTGTTCTTTGGATCTGGTTATCATTTATAAAAGGAAAAAAGAAAGAAGACATCTGGTTTTCCTCAGTCATGTTTTGCACCAGAAGCACATTCATGGTTAACATTCATAGCCTGGAAAGGAATCCGAGGTCATCCAGTACTATCTATACTCAGCCCCACGGAGCTCCCATGGGTCAATCTGCGTAATCCAGAACACAGCATGACAAAAAGAGAAGTCAGATAGTTGGAAGCAAAAGTCTAAAAGAGCAAATAACTTCAAAGGACCCAAGGAAGAAGTTTTACGGCAAACTTTGGGAGAAGGAATGTGCCAAGACAGCTAATTCAAGTCCTGAATAAAATGACCAATCATACTCCAAGCAGCATCAAAGCCCAACTACTGAGTCACTCCGGAGGGAAATCTCATTGTATTCCGCTTTTATAGATTCCAAAAACACTTCAGAATGCATAATCCCCATTGTTCTGCTGTTTCTTAGTAGTTGGCACTTTCATGTTTCAAGGCAATTTCTCCACCCTCCACATTCACTGGGGTTAGGGACGCAATACTCCCATAAACATGGGAAACACTATTTTTTTAGTGGCGCAGTAGGTTAAACCATTGGGCTGCTGAACTTGCTGACCGAAAGGTTGCAGGTTCGAATCTGGGGAGTGGGGTGTTAGCCCCAGCTTCTGCCAACCTAGCAGTTTGAAAACATGCAAATGTGAGCAGATCAATAGGTACTGCTTCGGTGGGAAGGTAATGCCGTTTCATGCAGTCATGCCGGCCAGATGACCTTGGAGCTGTTTATGGACAACGCCGGCACTTCAGCTTAGAAATGGAGGTGAGCCATTTGTCAGACACAACTGGACTTAATGTCAGGAGAAAAGCTTTACATTTAACTATTTTTTATCTGAGAGAACATCTCTCTAGGAAACTCTAGGTTTTCCAACACCACTTTGTACTGGAAGTTGATCATAATGTCAACTTGGAGGACCTATAGATTCCTGGAGAGAACACAGTAATCAAAGGAACAACTTAGAAAATGGGTTTTTGTAGGTTTTTCAGGCTGTATGGCCTAGAAGCATTCTCTCCTGACGTTTCACCTGCATCCGTAGCAAGCATCCTCAGGATGCTTCTAGAACATGACCATAAAGCCCAAAAAATGTACAACCACCTTGTGATTCTAGCCATTAAAGGCTTCGACAATATATTAAACTTAGAAAAACTATCTTGTTTGTAACATGGGGACTGCTTTTATTTGATATATGGTCAACATGGTGCAATGGTTTGAGTGTTGGATTAGGAATCTGAGAAACCATAGTACAAATCTCTGCTGAGCTCATTGGGTGATTTTCAGCAAGCCATACTCTCTCAACCTCAGAAGAAGGCAAGGGCAATCCCCTTCTGAACAAATTTTGCCAAGAAAACTGCATGATAGGGATTCCTTAAGTTGGAAACAACAACAACAACAACAACAACAACAACAACAACTATATATATATATATATATATATATATATATAGAGAGAGAGAGAGAGAGAGAGAGAGAGAGAGAGAGAGAGAACATAAAAGTAAATATGACACAATTTGAGAAAGTAAGAAGACATCTTCTGTGACTTCCCAGACATTGGGGAGAAATAATTCTAAAGAAAAATTAAACAAATGCAGTACCTGTTCAGTTGCTGGCTTTTTTGCTAGTTGTGTTGAAATCAAAGGTCTTAACCTGGGGAAAAAGAGAATTCAAGATGTTAGACAGTTGAGGTAATAAAGAAAGGTTGAAAAAACAAGTAGAGTTTGCAGCCTTTGGCACTGGATTGCTAGAAAATGGGGCAAAGATAAATGCCACAAAGAAATATGAAGCCTGTGGAAGCAATCTGATGAGAACTGCGGGAGGAAAAAGATCAGGTAACAGCATTTCAGTAAGAAATAATAATGAATGGCCTTTTCCATCAACACCAAAAAATCTTATTGAAGACTCTGGTTCATCTTGAATCATTCTCCTTTTAATTGTATAAGATTTGGATTATTTATTCATGCATAAAACATTTACCTAACCCATTAGAAGAAAGGCATTTATTTATTCCATTTCTAGCTTGCCTTTCTTCCAAGGTGTGAGCTTGCCAAGGCTTGTGAGCTTGCCTAGGCTTGCCAAAGTGGTTCAGACCAAATTAAAACAAAGTTCAACTAAAATACCTTTAGTACAAAAAACGTTTCATTTTTTGTTTCAAAAACATCTTTAAAATGTAGTTTTTAAAATAAATGATGAAGTCCCAAGACATCAGATGAAAAACCTTTGTCTGCTAATTGAAAGAGAGAGCAGTCAGGTGGTCAGCCTCCCATATAATAGCAGAACAATAGCATAGCAATCACTGCAGTCAGCTAAATACATTTCTAAACCCCCAAATTTCAAGATTAAATCCGCAGAAGTAAACTAAACACACTCACCAGTCCTTTCTACACTGATGTATATATATGCCTACCAACTGAGGATGACACTTCAGAGAATGTGAAATTGACCTTATGAATGGTAACACAACAATACATTTGCTACTCAGTTTGTAAGACTCGAGTTGTGCTGTGAATAACACAAGAGAAAATTGATCTAGGATAGAGGGGAGTCTATGTCCATGAGGTCCATGAGACTGGTCCATGAGATCCATGAGATAGGTCCATGAGATCAAGAAGAGTCAAAAGCGAATGGACAGATAAACACCAACAACAACACAAAGAGAGAAGGCATAGTCTCACTCCATTCTGCTATGGTCAGACCTCACCTGGAATACTGTATCCAGTTCCGGGCACCACAAGTCAGAAGGACATTGAGAAGGTAGAGCGTGTCCAGAGAAGGTAAACCAAAATCATCAAAAGTTTGGAAACCAAGCCTAGTGAGGAACGATGGAGGGAGCTGGGTTTGTTTAGCTTGGAGAAGAGAAGACAGGGGTCATGATGGCCATGTTTAAACATATGAAAGTATGTCACCTAGAGGAGGGGGCATGCTTCTTTTCTACTGCTGTAAATAATAAGGCATGGAGCAATTGATTCAAATTGCAGGAAAAAAGATTTCACATATACATACTTTTGATGGTAAGAGCTATTTGGCAGCAGAATACATTGCTACCTTGGGGTGTGGTGGAATCTGCCATCTATGGAGGTTTTTAAGCAGAGGTTGGATGGCCATCTGTTGGGGTTCCTTTGATCGTGCTTTTCCTGCATGTCAGGAGGTTGGACTAGATAGCCCTTGTGGTCTTGGCCAACTCTGTAATTCTATTATTCATTCATAGCATTGTCAAAAGTCAACTTGACAACAACAATGCTGTGTTAAACTCCCGAGTGCTCCTTTGTTCTGCCCAATCTTTCACAGAATCACATAGTTGGAAGAGACCAGGGCCAACCAATCCAAACCCATTCTGCCATGCACAGAGACACAATCAAAGTGCCCCTGACAAGTGTCTATTCAGCCTCTTTTTAAAAACCTCCAGAGGAGATCCCATCTAGTCCAAGACAGCATATGGCACTGTTGAACTATCCAGTGTGCTTCATAAAAAACTTCCTTCATCAAGGAGTGTGGGGCCCTTTAAGAAAGTTGAGTAGCATTTGCTTCTAAATAAATTTTCCACAAATATCTTTTAAAAATAAATGTATTTATTTACCACATTTATATCCCACCCTTCTCAACCCTGAAGGGAGCTCAGGCCAGCCTTACAAACACAGCAATTCAATGTTAATACATCAGTAAATAAACAAAATCTTTCAAACCAAACCAAATGTTTTCCACTACCTTGTATGTGTCTTGGTTGGTTTACAAACTTCTTTGACAAATTAAAAGAAAATATTTTAAAAGAAAAAGAGGTTTCTTTGCTTTGAGGAGACAGGCTCAAGTTAATGTGTGAAGAGCTTAAGGCTTTCATTATCTCAGAATATTAAAATTCAAAGACCTGGCAGAGCTGGAGGGAACCCACCTTTGAGCAGCAATAAGATGCTGAACAGTTGACAGCCCAAGGGAGTTAAAAAAAGGTGAATGCTCCAAGGGCACTCTGTGGTTACACAGCCACCTTTCCCAGCAATGCTTAGTGCCTATGGCTATCAACACTTCTGGCCAACACACCCAAACTCTGAAGACACCGTTCTTCCATGGTGATACATATCTGATGTTAATGTTGAATTCTCAGAAGTGGATAGATTTATGACCTTTATTCTAGGGAGGCCGATTAGTAATTACAAAGCCACATGTTTGAGCATATTACCTATTCTTTTTCCTACTGTAAAATGTATTGCAAAAACTTTAAAGCATTTTCCAGAGGCTGATTTTAATGTGGTGTTTTTTTTTCAGGGGGGGGGACCAACATCTTGGGGCCGTGAATATGCAAAAGGATGACTGTGCAAGTTATTACAACAGTATTTTCTATAGATTATAATTACAGCAACCCAAGGAAGTCTGCAAAACGTATTAAAAATAATAATTACAAAAAGTTGGAGGAACCACTTTTTTCCAGTTCTCCCTGTGTTTTGCTTCACTGGGATGTCTCGTACAATAGGTGTGCGAACCTATAAAGAGTATCGAAGCTGTTCCAGACATTCGGCTGAACAAACAACACGCAATATGATGCATTATTTTATTTTCCATTAGCTGCAATGTTCTGGTTTTAAGACTCCCAAATTCCATTATCTGAAGCAACATTATTTATTTATTATGCGTATTTTAAAACGGTTTTCTGACTGCATTTCTATTTGTACTCTCCTAGAAATAAGTTCCACTCAACACAGCAGAACTTTTGCTTGCTACTGCTGTTTTAACAGTTTTAACTGAGTCACTTTTTAAAATGCAGAGAAGATCTGCCTGCAGTCCGTTGAGCAGAAAGTAATGGAACCACAAAAATAAAAGTACTTGAAGCCATCCCATTGTAAAAAAATAATAAAAAAATGGAGAGGATTATTCCCTGTCAAGTTTCAGGCAAAATCATCCACTGAGGCTACTTAATCTGTTTTCTGAACCCTGGATTCGATTATACCATGAAGCTTCAAAGGCATTCAATATACAACAGCAGCCTGATGAATATGGCATACAAATTGTTATCTTGTCCCTTAAAGAAAAAAATTTGAGCAAACTAGTTCATAGTCAAAAATTATTTCAACTAATTAGGATTCCCCTGTAAGTACCATCAGGCTTTACATAGGGTTGTTGTAGGTTTTTTTCAGGCTATATGGCCATGTTCTAGAGGCATTTTCTCCTGACATTTCGCCTGCATTTATGGCAAGCATCCTCAGAGGTAGTGAGGTCTGTTGGAACTAGGAAAATGGGTTTATATATATCTGTGGAATGACCAGGGTGGGACATAGGCTTGACATAGGCTGCAGATTGAGTTAATCATCTTTTCTTCGTTGTCTGGGTTCTGTGTTAACCAAGAAAGGACTCTTGTCTGTTTGAGGCAAGTATGAATGTGGCAATTGGCCACCTTCATTAGCATTAAATGACCTTGCAACTTCAAAGTCTTGGAGTTGTTTCTCCCACCCCGGACGTTCCACAGATATATAAACCTCACTTGCCTAGTTTCCAACAGACCTCACAACCTCTGAGGATGCCTGCCATAGATGTGGGTGAAACGTCAGAAGAGCATGCTTCTGGAACATGACCATACAGCCCGGAAAACTCACAGCAACCCAATAAACCCAATTGCTCACCTTTCTTTCTTGGATTTAAGAGCCTAATGTTACTGTCTATCAAGAGAACAGAAACGGTAGCCATGTGCAAATCTATCAGGTAATTGGCCATTAATATCTCTAGGTCATATCTGCATTAATAAAGAAGTCTTCAAATGCCTTAATTTCAAAAGTTGCTGAAGGTGCCTCAGATTGAAGGGGAAGCCACGTCATGCAAGGACACTCTGAAGATTTGCTCATCTTCCAGTTAGAAACAAGCTGTTGAGTAAGTCACCAGGGAAACGGGAATCTGATGACACTTGTTTTAAAAGGAAGGAGAATGTGTTTGCACCCTTAAAGTAGTTAGGCTATCATACATAAATACGATATTCCACTGTCTATTAAAGTAGACTGCTACAATAGTAATGGAACAAAATACCAAACTACCAGGAAATTTGTTAAAAACTTGTGGTGCAAGTGTATTGACTGTCAAAGAATAACAGCACATATTTATTTTTGTATTTCTATTCCAATATTTGGCTCACTCCAGATGAACTCTCATTATGTCTTGCATGCTGATAAATACAGGGAGAGGTTTAAAATACAAAGGACAGATTGTTAAGATAAAGACCTAAAAGCAAGCAAAGCCACAACTGATCATGAAGCTGTCTTTTGGATTTTTTTTTAAAGAAGTCTATCTCTCATTGTCTTCCTGTTCAACAGTGATTTTCTGCTGTCTTCCTATCTCACTGACTCCCCCAAAATAAAAAATGCCCTGGTGTACCTGTCAGCTGTGGGATTCTGCTAAAGTAACTTCCAAGTTCTGGATGTAGTATAGCATTGTATTTTTCACAGAAGCTTACCAGGTCTTTCTAAGGCTATCCACAAGTAATGTGTTCTGCTACTATTGTTTTTCAGCAGTCAGCAATGAATGGGGTAGAACTACATATCTCTTTGAGGTTCTATCTAGCCATTATGGCTAGACTTTAATAGCCAAGGGCAGCACTCCTCCTTCCTCCTCCTCCTCCCCACTCCCTCTTTTCATAAATATCTCTAGTTTCCTGTTAAACCATCAAAATTGGTGGC